CCCACCCATACACACAGATACAAACACCATGGTCTTGAACTTTATTCTGAGATGAGTGCCTTAGTCAGGGTTCCTGTCGTGATGATGAAACACGGTGCCAAAAGCAACTTGGGAAGGAAAGGGCTTATTTGCCTCACATACCCCAAGTCACAGTCCAATGGAGGAAGCCCACACAGGAACTCAAACCAGGAAGGAACCTGGAGGCAGGAGCTGATGCAGAGGCCATGGAGGGAGCTGCTACTGGCTTGCTCCTCATGTCTGCTTTTTTATAGAATCCAGGACCACCTGCCCAGGGAAGGCACTACCCACAGTGGGCTGGGCCCTTCCCCATTGATCACTAATTAAGAAAAAGCCCCACAGCCCTGCCTATCTTATGAAGGTATTTTCTAGAACAATTGAGGTTCCCCCCACTCAGATGACTTTAGCTTGTGTCAAGCTGACATAAAACTAGCCAGGACAGTAAGCTACCCTAACGTAGGCCCTGCCTGGGTTTTCTCCACCCTTAAGCCCAGCCCAATCAAACAACAAGAGCAGGAGTTGAGGATGGGGGGAATCGTACTACCCAGAATCCAGCCCAGTTCTAGAGGCCGTATCCCCGACATACATTCTGCTTCATTTTGAGAAGTGGGGGCTCAGGCTACTGAGTCCGTGATGAGCAGAAAAGTTACTCAGGTTCAATCTGCTTCTCAGGCACCCAGAGAGGAACCTGCACCCCGCCCCCCCCCAAACACACACCTGATCCTCCCTTGGTGGCTGCAGAGCCAGCAGCCTTACAGACTGATGGCACACGGGGGGGGGGCGGGGCTGAAAGCAGATCCGGGTACAGTTTGAAGGTCACTGACAGCCAGCAAAGCCACCGAGGGGGGGAGGGAGGGACACTAGAAAGAGGCTGCCACTCTCCCCTTAGAGAGGCCCCAGGAGGCAGAGGTCTGATTCCAGAAACTCTGACAATGTCACCAAGGAGACTTGGGGGGTGGGGTGAGAAAGAAAGAGGGTATCCCACCCAAAGGCCGGAGGACGGAAGGGCTGACACAGTTTCAGGTGGAGGTTAGGGTGCAGCCAGGGTTCTCAGAATGGGAGTTAGATGGAGCTGGGCAGGCTGAACAACCTGTACATCTCCATGAGCCTGCCTGGCAATCCTCAGAGCGAGCACACACACACACACACACACACACACACACACACACACACACACACACACGCACTCACGCACGCATGCACACACACACACCTGGCAATCCTCAGCGCGCGCACACACACACACACGTACACACACACACTCTCTCTCTCTCTCTCTCTCTCTCTCCATCTCTCTCTCTCTCTCTGCTCCACCCACACACACAACACACACCAAACACACACACACACACACGGCACCCAACCATTCTCCTCCTCCCTCATTCACCTCAGCCTCAGTGCCAGCAGGCAGGTGGGTCATTCACATTTTACAGGTGAGAGAACTGCATTCTGGGATATGTGACTACTTCAGGTCAGAGTCAGTCAGCCTCTGGGCCCCCCAATTCCTCTCTTCTGCCTGCCTCTTGGTATCCCTCAGGAAGGGACAGGAGAAGAATGAAGACATGGGGATAAGTTCCCAGACTGCCACCCCTGCCTGGCTGACCGCAAGTGTTACTGTGGGGGCGGAATGTGCCCAAGACCAGCTCAAGACCAGCTCTCCTGCCACAGTTAGCA